GTGTGTGTGTGTGTTTTAAGTGCTTGTGGAGATGTGCATGGAGCACTCATGGATAATTGAAAATGTGTATATGTGTAATTGCAGTTAGCAGTTTGCCCGGCTCTAAAAGCAAATTGAAGATCAATATTTTCTCAACCACCATTTCCAGAAGGTCAGAAACATAATAGCTAACTAGACTTGTGAAACCGGCTTTAGTTTCTTTGCATCACATCAGGACTCTTGGAATGTCATTGGACACAATCAACTCAACATTTTTTTCAATAATGAGGGAAATAATAATTTTCTTACCTAAACCCAGGTATTGTTTAAAAATACACAATAGAGTTATACAATAGGTAGATCAAGTGTCAAATATTTCTTTTCATTTCTGTATTTTTTCCCTTTCATATGGAAACAGTTCATTACACATTGTTACCACTGCACCGCCAGACAGCTGATAATAGTACTGTGCGGCTGTAATCATCTCAGTAAGCATAATGTCTTTTAATTATATATCACAACATGCAGTGCTATAAATCACATGCACAAGTAAACAGCAAGAAACTTTTAAATGTGACATCCATCCAAGCAAAGTGCTATATTATCTGCCAATTTTGGAAGCTGTGGGTGTTTTGAGATCCAGATACTTTAAGGGCAGAAAAAGAAGTACAGCTATTCCTATGTAAAAAAAAAAAAAAAAAGATGGCATGTCTGAATAACCTGAGCTGCTTTAGTTTCTTACATATACATGCTAATCCCTGTTCATCTCAGGGAGCAGGACAGAGTCTGAGAGACTGTAAGTCAACTGTATGTGGTTCATCTTATGCAGTTTACCATGTTTGTCAGTATCTCTCTCACTATGGCAATTACAGTCGAATATAGTGGGGCCTCTCCGTGTTGCCAGTATTTTACACTTTAGATTGTGATTCTCTTCTGAAAGATCTACATGTGCACACAGCAGTTTTTGCCTTTTTTGATGTATGACAAGTGGCCTGACATGGCGACTGCTTGGTCATTGTGTAACTGAAACAACCACGACAAAAAAAAAGAGGCAAC